CTTGGTGTTGTCAGCACCACGCTCAGCCAGTGAGCAAACCGGCCATCCCTATATAGGATCCGAACCCGTGGCCTTGGAATTATCAGCACCGCACTCTCCCGAGTGATCCACAGGCCGGCCTATGTTTTTTTTTTTAAAAGATGACCAGTAAGGGGATCTTAACCCTTGACTTGGTGTTGTCAGCACCACTCTCACCCAGTGAGCTAACTGGCCATCCCTATATGGGATCCGAACCTGGGGCCTTGGTGTTATCAGCAACACACTCTCCCAAGTGAGCCACGGGCCCGCCCTGTCCTAGGTACATGTTGATGAATGTTGGGCTGAGCCTCACAGCACAGCTACCAGTTTGTTGCATGCTTAGGTTGTCTAGTCAGCATGATGATCAACAAGTCGTGTGCCCCAAACAAAGGCTTTCTCAAAATCATCACAGATGTAAGTGTTCTGCCCAGTGTGAAATCTCTGATGTTCAGTAAGGTATGAAATCCAGCTGAAACCCTCTCCACATTCTTTACATGCATAGCGTTTGCCACGAGTATGGACTTTCTGATGTTGAAGAAGGTGTGAGATCTGGCTATAGGTTTTCTCACACTTGTTACATTTGTAGGGCTTCTCTCCAGTGTGAATCCTTTGATGCTGAATCAAGTGGATGCTCTGATTGAAGGCTTTCCCACATTCCTTACAGGCATAGGGTTTCTCACCTGTGTGAATTCTCTGATGTTGAGTGAGGGATGAGTTGTGACTGAAGGTTTTTCCACACTCCTTACACTTATAGGGTTTCTCACCAGTGTGGATCTTCTGGTGCTCGATGAGGTGAGTGCTCCGGCTGAAGGCTTTCCCACACTCGCTGCACTCATAGGGTTTCTCTCCAGTGTGAATCCTCTGGTGTTGAATAAGGTGGGAGATCTGGGTATAGGCCTTCCCACAAACTTTACATTCATAGGGTTTCTCCCCAGTGTGAATCCTCTGGTGGCGTGTGAGGGAAGAGTTCTGGCTGAAGGTTTTCCCACACTCAATACATTTGTAGGGCTTCTCACCGGTGTGGATCGTCTGATGTTGAGTAAAGGAGGAGGTGTGACTAAATGCCTTTCCACACTCATTGCATCTATAGGGCTTTTCCCCAATGTGTAGGCTCTGGTGCCTCATGAGGTGCAAAATCTGTGTATAAGCTTTCCCACACTCATGACACTCATAAGGCTTCTCACCAGTGTGAATTCTCTGATGCTGTGTCAGGGATGAACTGTGGCTGAAGGCTTTGCCACACTCAGCACACTCATAGGGTTTTTCTCCAGTGTGGACTCGCTGGTGCTGTGTCAGGGATGAGCTGTGGCTGAAGGTTTTCCCACACTCATTACATTTGTAAGGTTTCTCCCCAGTGTGGATAGTCTGGTGTTGGGTCAGGGAGGAAGTGTGACAGAAGGCCTTGCCACACTCACTGCATTTGTAGGGCTTTTCCCCTGTGTGGATTTTCTGGTGGCGGGTGAGATGAGAGACCTGTGAATAGAACTTCCCACACTGGTCACATTTATAGGGTTTCTCTCCAGTGTGGCATCGCTGGTGTTTAATGAGGGATGAGCTCTGGGTGAAGGCCTTCCCACATTCCTTGCATTTGTAGGGTTTCTCTCCGGTATGGATCCTCTGATGTTCAGTAAGTGATGAGCTCTGAGTAAAGGTCTTGCTGCATTCGTGGCAGGCATAAGGTTTCTCTCCTGTGTGAATGATGTGGTGCTGAATGAAATATGAGCTGTTGCTGAACGCTTTTCCACATTCATTGCACTTGTAGGGTTTCTCTCCAGTGTGAATTCGCTGATGTAGAATATAGTCTGAATGGTAAATGAAGGCTTTCCCACATTCTATGCAGTTAAATAGTTTCTTCTCCATGAAGGTCCTTTGGCATTTCAAGCTCTTTTGTGGCGTGCTCCACTTCTGGGGCCTCTCTCCACCAGGCACTCTTTGCTCCCTAAGGAGGGCTGAGGCCCTCCTGAGCTCACTACATGTGAGGCCTTGCTCCTCAGAGGTGTCTCCCTTAGGAGTAGCAAATAAACACTTCAAATGCCTGTCCTGTTTTCCTGGGTCCTCCAATGGATGTCGACATGCCTGGGGTTCTCCCAACTTGGCATCTCCAAGCACAGCCCTCAAAATTCCTTCCATCAGAGAATATGACTCTTCAGAAATGCTCTTTCTTGGAGGCGTCTCCTGAGTAGTTACAGAGCTTGTCTCCAAGTCTGAAAGAAATGGAAAATACAAATATCATCTGTCCTAGGTCAAGGGAAGTTGATTATTTGGAACTGGCAATGTAAACCTAAAAAGAATGGTTTCAAATTTTATGTTGCTATTTTAAAAGGCATGAAGTAGATAGATTCATGTTCTGACTTGGGAGGATGGCCTCAATGTACTAAAAGTGAAGAGAACCAAACTGCACAACAGTTTATGAGCACGGAGATTAATCAGCCATGGCTTATAATGAATTTTTACAAATCAATAAGAAAAAATGATAAAAACAATCTAATAAAATAGTGAGGCAAGAATATAAATAGACGGGCCGGCCCGTGGCTCACTCGGTAGAGTGCGGTGCTGATAACACCAAGGCCGCGGGTTCGGACCCCATATAGGGACGGCCGGCTTGCTCACTGGCTGAGCGTGGTGCTGACAACACCAAGCCAAGGGTTGAGATCCCCTTACCGGTCATCTTTAAAAAAAAAAAAAAAGAATATAAATAGACGAAAAAGAAAAGAATAACATTAAAAAATTTTTTTATAAATAATATTTTTTCACAGAAAAAAAATAAATGGCTGATAAATACATGTAAAGATGGTCAACATCAGTGATAATAACAAAAAAATCAAATCACCTAAGATGCCATTTTACCCTTTTTAGATTGGAAAATGTTAAAAATATACAAGGTTGGCAGGTGAGCATGACATAGGCATTCTCACACCGTGTTTGTGGGAGGGTGCAAGGAAAGAGTTAACACAGAAGGTCTGTTTTACTCCATTTTTATTTATCTCCAAAGCCATGGTAATGACCCATGGCCAAGTTCTGAGGATTAAATTCCTGGGATGTTTACACAGTTACTGGTTCATGATGCTTTTCTATATGCTCAAGACCACGGGTTAAGATGTACTAGGTTGTCAGCACTATTGACTGCAGATATGAAGATTCCCGATGTGCGCCTGGTGCGTGGTTTGGGGTCCTCACCATGGCTGGTCATATAGCAGGTATGAGCATATGTGACTGGCCCTCTTCAAGAACTCTGAACTCTTAAGACTCAAGTGGGATTCCCTGTGTGAAGACATCTCACATGTATCTTAGTGGTTTTGTATTGGGAGCTATAGTGGATTGAATTATATTCCCCCCAAATTCACTGAAGCTTGAAGTGTGTCCCCTAAATTTTATGTATTAGAAACTTAGCCCCCACTTGTGACTGTTAAGAGGGTGGGAAATCCTATTATGGTAATTGAAAGGTGGAGCCTTGAACAGGTGATTAGACTGTAAGACTGTGCTGTAGTGAATGGATTAAAAATGGTGGTCAGGGGCGTGGTTCTGAGGGCTTTAAATGAAGAGAGAGGAGAGTCTGTCTCTCTCTCCTCTCTCTGCTTCCACCATCTTGCAATGTGAGATCACTGGGTCACTGTTGCCACCACCAGATGGACTTTAGACTTCCCAGCTTCAGAAACTGTAAGTAATACATTTCGTTTCTCTTTATGAATTACCCATTCTGTGCATTTGGTTATAAGCAATTGAAACAGACTAATACAGCAGAGAAAAGCATGTCCACATGACCCTCACAGAGAGAGGAATGACTTGGAAGCCTGCACTTGACCATACAGGCAGTCTTCAACTTATGAAGGTTTCACTTATGATGGTTTGGCTTATGATTTTCTGACTTTACGACGGTGCAAAAGCAATATGCATTCAGTAGAAACTGTACTTCGAGTACCCATATGACCATTCTATTTTTCATTGTCAGCAGAGTATTCAATAAATTACACTGAGATATTAACACTCTGTTCTAAAACAGGCTTTGTGTTACATGATTTTGCCCAACTGTAGACTAATGTTAAGTGTTCTAAGCACGATTAAGGTAGTCTAGGCTAGGCTATGCTGTTCAGTAGGTTAGGTGTATTAAATGCATTTTTTACTTATACCGTATTTTCAACTAATGATGGGTTTATCAGGATGTAACCCCTTCATAAGTTGAGGAGCATCTGAATATTTGTTCTTACTGTCCTTGTATTATATTTGCTATGAGAAATTTTAGCAGCGAGTACAACTTGTTGACTCATGTGAATCCTTCCAGAAAATAACCAAACTAGGGGGTGGTTGTGGGACCCCCAAAACAGAGACATGACAACTAAATGTTATATGGGATTCTGAAAATAATCCTCGTATTGTTGGACTAGGCAAAGGTTTCTTAGATATGACATCAAAAGCACAAACAGCAAAAGAATAGATAAATTGAACATCATCAGAATTAAAAACTTTTGTGCTTCAAAAATACTATCAAAAAAGCAAAAAGACAACTTGCAGAATGGGAGGAAAAGTTTTGCAAGTCATAAATCTGATAAGGGACTCATATTCAGAATACAGAAAGAATATTTATAACTCAGTGATAAAAATAAACAAACCAATTAAAAATGAGCAGATGGGCTGGCTGTTTAGCTCAGTTGGTTAGAGTGTGGTGGTCAGTATGGTGGTTAAGGCACAGGGTCCATGTAGTGGACTGAATTGTATCTGCCCAAAACTCACTGAAGCTTAAATTGTGTCTCCCAAGTTTTATGTATTAGAAACTTGGCCCCGCTCAGTTGGTTAGAGTGTGGTGGTCAGTATGGTGGTTAAGGCACAGGGTCCATGTAGTGGATTGAATTGTATCTGCCCAAAACTCACTGAAGCTTAAATTGTGTCCCCCAAGTTTTATGTATTAGAAACTTGGCCCCCGGGCCGAGCCCATGGCGCACTCGGGAGAGTGCGGCACTGGGAGCGCAGCAGTGCTCCCGCCGCGGGTTCGGATCCTATATAGGGATGACCGGTGTGCTCACAGCGCTCACTGGCTGAGCACGGTGCGGCCGGTCTCAAAAAGGACAAAAAAAAAAAAAAAAAAAAGAAACTTGGCCCCCACTGTGACTATAAATCTTCTTAGATTTTTCCAAGTTTTTGTAATTATCAAACATAGCTTTTATTTCATTTCTGAAAAATATCGGTAAATATTAAATATACATGAGGTTTTTACAGAACAATCTTGCAATCTGAAGAAAGGAAGATGTAGAGAAGAAATGATTGAGCAGAAAGCACATCCATTTAGAATTTGTTGGAGGGGATTGGTTTTTTTGGTGCCAGTAGATTCGTTCATGGAATACCCATTAATTACATAATTATCATATGCCAACCACAGTGTTGGGGGTGGGTGACCTTATGCTGAACAAGGTATTTGGTCCTTACTCTCAGAGAGGAGGGAGGGGCAGGCTTGTACTCAGACATTTTGGACACATCCTATTTATCTCTTTAGCACCCCTGCCTTTGAAGAACCACTGTTCCCCTCTCTCTGTACTCTTGGTGGGCTGGTAATCATAGTCTCTCTAATCCCTCACCTCCAGAGCGGGCGTGAGGCTCAGGCTGGCCAATTATAACCCCCCATCCACCAGGCCATACAAATTGGTTAAAGATCCAGAGGGAGCCAATCAGAATTTTCCTTGAGATTAATATATGGGGTTGCTAGGCAGAATATGTTTGAAACTGTGGATAGTCATGTTGAGTGCCACTTGGAAAGGCCTATAGATAGAATGAAGCCAGAAACAGACAAAATCAACATGTGGTAGGAAAAAAAAATAAAAAAGAAAAAGAAAACAAACAAAATGTGGGTGGGGAGAGAAGGAAGGAGAGAAAGAGAAAAAACATGTGAGCCCTGACAATATCATTTAAGGCCTTAGATCCATCTATGCCCAAAGTCTTACACTGCAACACTTTCCAGTTATATGGGCCAAAAAATCTAATTTTTCTTAAGCTATTTTGATTCTCTACATGCAAGAGTCCTACGAATACATCAGATAACTACAATAACACTAATTATTATTATAATCACAATAGGTAACATTTATTAAATGCCTACTATGTGCCAGACACTATTTTAAGCTTGTCATATGTATTAAGTAATTTAATCATAAAAATTTTAATGAGGTAGGATACAGAAATGGAGGTACCAAGAGGTTAAGTCACTTGCCCACAGTCACACAGACTGGCAGTGGCAAAACGGGGATTTGAACTCAGAGCCCACACTCTTGCACAATTGCAGTAATAGCACCTCAAGCAAGGAGCTGTGAAAACACTGAGAAGCAGCAGCCTAGAAGTCATGAAAGGCCTCCTGGAGGAGATGACCTATAAGCTTCTTCTTGAGGAACACTGAGGTGTTTTTCAGGGAGAAACAGTATGGAAAAGTGTCCCAGGCAGAGGGAACAGCATGTGTGAGGGCCCAAGGGTGGGAACACATGTTTAGATTCAGGTAGGGACAGGGGCTTCAGTGAGGTCAGGCCTCACTGAGAAATAAGGCCAGAGACAAAGCAAAGGCCGGACCATGCAGGGTCTTGAGTGCTGGGTTGAGGGGCAGGGACATCATCTTGGGGACACTGGGGAGCCACGGGAGGGCTGTGAGCAGGAGAGGAAGTGGGGTCAGCTCTCAATAGACAAAGACCCCTCTGGGCCTGTGTGTGAAATGGACTAGAAGGAGTAAGACTGGAGGCCAGGAGGCCAGGGAAAAGTAAGGGCTGAGGGTCCAGGTGAGAGAAGCCAAGGCCTGAGCGAAAAGGCAGGAGGGACAGGGCTAGGGGCTAATGGGCTGTGGTGGGTGAAGGGGACGAGGGGGCAGATGTCTGGCCCTGAGATGGGGTGGATGGTGTCAGAGACAAAGGTGCTCCAGTCCTCCTCCTCAGATGGCGTCCATGGTCCAGAGGGAGGCAAAACTCTGGCTTCCTCCTGTTGCCCAAACACGCTCACCTAGCTCCTACTTCTGGGTCTTTATACAGGCTAGTCTCAGTAAATAATTGGAATGATAACAACCACCACAGCCACTACTGACTGGGGAGCTACTGCATACCAGGCAGAGGGCCACGCTCTGTATCTGTCACCCAGCTATTCTTCCCAACCCTGAATACTGTTATCACCCCAATTTTACAAATGAGAAAATCAAGGCATAGAGAGGCTAAGACTTGCCCAAAGCCACACAGCTAGGTAGTGGTGAGCTGGGATTTGAACCCAGACAACCTGGCTCCAGAGCCCATGATTTCACCTGTGTGCTATGCTACCTCATTCTTGAATGAACCTCACTGACCATGATAGACAGGCTAGGAAGAGGGCTCACACCTACCAGACATCCTCACCCACCTGGACATGTAACTCGCTGGGCCTCTCTCTCCTCCATCTTTGGCTCTTCCCCTCTCTCCAGACAGGAGATCACATCAGGTTTGGACCCAGGAAGGCCTGCCCCTGGGAAAAGATACAGACTTGGTCATGTGTGCCAGAATTACTGGGAAGCCTCAGGGATGGGCCCCAGGCCCTGAATCTACAGAGGGGAGATGCAAACATCAGGAGCCTAATGATTAGAAGCTCTAATGGTCAACGGAAGACCCATCTATTAAGTGCCTAGTATGTTCCAGAGAGAGACTGAGCCCTGACAAGACTGTTTAAGGCTCTAGGTCTGTGCTGTTCAAGTTGAGTGCAAAAAACACAGTCTTCTGTGTCTAAAAGGCTTACTACGAGAAAAATGCAAAATCTCTCAATAATTTGTATATTGATTATAACGTGAACATAATGATAATATTTTGGATAGCTTGAGGGAAATAAAATGCATTATTAAAATTAATTTCACTTGTTTCCTTTTATTTTTTTAATGTGGCCATCAGAAACTTTAAAATTACGTAAGTGGCTTGCATCTACTGGATAACTGTGCTCTAGATTAAGCTATGCCTAAAGCCTTCCATCCCAAGACTTCGAGAAACATAAGTCAAAGCATCCCCATTTTGATGAAACTCTCTTAAACACCTGTAGGCAATCATTTGATCCCTGACTAAAATATGAGAAAATCCCAACAACAATATTCAGAGTAATACTAAAAAACTAATGTCTATTAAGCACTTACCACGTGCCAGCCATGTTTCTAAGCTGGTTAAATGCATTAGCTCATTTTTACCCTCCAAACAGGAAACTCAGGCACAGTCTATCATTGTGTGAACTGGCGTGGAAGAAACATAAGGTGCTGTGAGAAGTCACAGAGGGTGGGGAAATCAAAGGAGGCTTCCTGGAAGAGGTGAGGCAAAAGGTGACTGTACTAGGAAGGTGAGAAGAACTGTGGTTCAACAAACATGCCCACGGGCCTCCCCATGCTGGCTTAGGCATTGCTGGGAATACAGAAATGAACTGGACGCCACCCTGCCCTGTAGGAGATCCCGATCTGAAGGGGGAGGGAGACCTGGACACAGTGACAATCCAGGGTGACTCCTGGACGCCTCTCCTGTAAGAATCCCTTCCCCGCTCCACCGCAGGCACCCACTCCTTTGGTTACATTCTAGACCCATTCATCACTGATTGTGACCCCACCTCCAACATCTCAAGTGTCAAACACCCCATCCCACCTCCCAGCCTCCGGGTGCCTTTCTCTGCTTCTCGACTCCAACTGTCCCAGCTCCATAATCACTCCCCGGCCAGCACTCCTACTTACCCTACCCTCGGCCTGCACAGAACTCACCAGGTAAAGTCCCAATAGTGGTTAGAGCCAACTATCCTCCGATTTGGGTGCCAGTGCCCAAGAAGATGGAGGGCATTTTCATCAAGGTCTTACCTTAAACTTGGAACTGGAAGTTGCAACAGACAATTGTATATTTTCTCCCCACTCTCCAAAATGATCAGTTTGTCATTTCTTCCCCCTCCTCCCATATGCTACACCTCACTCCCTATTTGCAACTGTGACCTCCTCTCATGGTTCAAAGACGCCCTTGGATGATAGCATCTACGCTTCCCCACCGTGAGTCCCACAACCAGCCTGCATCTCTACACCCACACTCCGCCTTCCCTCTGGTTGTCCTGGAGATCGCCCCTGCTCCAGGCCAAGACCAACCCCTCCACTCCTCCCCAAGTTCATCTGCTTTCGCCCACTCAACACGCAAGGAGTTGGCTCCTTCCATTGTGCCTCTGTCATTGGAACTGCTAATTTCTCAGCCATAGGGTCTTTGCTGGTGTAATTAGTTAAGACAAGGTCCTATGGATTAGGGTGAGCCCTAAATCCTATGACTGATCCTTCTGAGAAGAGGAGAGGACACACAGAGAGACACAGAGGGCAGAAGGCCACATGAAGGTGGAGGCAGAGGTTGGAATGATGCAGCCACAAGCCAAAAAACACCAGGAGCCACGAGAAGCTGGGAGAGGAGAGGTAGGACCCTCCCCTAGGGCTTCTGAGAGAGTGGTCCTGCCAACACCTTGATTTTGGACTTCTGGCCTCCAAAACTATGAGAGAAACAATTTCTGTTGTTGTAAGCCACTGAGTTTGTGTCCATTTGTTACAACAGATACAGCAAACTAACACATCTCCTTACTGATCATTCCCGGACTAACATGCTGACGTAGGCCCCACCTGAAAAGACACATCTTCCCTTGACTGGAGAAGACAGTGCCCTGGGATAGCCTGTTCACTGGGTGGACAGGGGACTGTTCCTGAAATGAGTGACTTGGTGGAGGGGTGGGTCTGGGGGGACATGATGAGCTCAGTGGAGACAGGAATGTGGGGTCCTCAGCCCTCACCAGGGAAGTGTTCTGGAGGCCACTGGCTGCACAAGGTTGGAGGGTAGGGGACAGACTGAGGGAACATCATTCTGGTCATACAAGTTTTGCAGAAGAGGGTGGACATGGCAGGCCTGAGACAATTTCTTTGGAAATACCTGCTGGCAAGGCAGGCCTTTGGGTGGCATCTGAGAATCTGGATTTCAGGAAATTCCCCATCATTCCCTAATTGAGGAGAGGGGATCACTGGGCCTAAGCTGTGCAAACAATGTGGCTTACACTGAACACCTACTTTCCTTCTGGAAGCTGGAATTTGGGTACATACTAAGCCGATAGGACCAAGTAACCTGCCCCCAGTAACAACCCTGGGCACTGAGACTCTGACAAGCTTCCCTGGTTGACAGCGTCTTACATGTGTTGTCACACTTCATTGCTGGGGGAACTAAACACATCCCATGTAGCTCCACTTGGAAAGGGTTCTAAAAGCGCACAGCTGGTTTCTCCCAGACTTCGCCCCTGTAGCTTTTCTCTTTGCTGACTTTGCTCTGATTCTTTTCACTGTAATAAACCATTGCCCTGAGTATGACTACAGGCTGAGTCCTGTAAGTCCTCCTAGTGAGTCACCAAACCTAGGGGTGGTCTTGATGACCCCAACACAGAAGTTTAAGCCAAATTTTTTTTTTTTTTCTTTTTTTGTCTTTTTCCATGTCCGGCAACAGATCGCAACCCTCAGTGTCGCCCCCGCACCGGACCGGGACCGGCAACGGGATCGCAACCCTTGGTGTCGCTCCCGCGCCTCGCTCAGCCAGTGAGCGGGAACCGGTCTGTATGTGGGATCCGAACCCTCGGCGGGAGCGCCGCCGCGCCTCCCAAGCGGCGCACTATAGCAGTGCGCCACCGGGCCGGCCCAGTTTAAGCCAAATTTTGATGAGGTTGTCCAGCAAAAGTGTGTGAGTGAGTGGAGCTGAGGATGCAGCCTTCACATCATCATCACCACTTACAAGGAGAGGCAGAGACAGAGGAGTCAGAAAATAAATTGAGGAGCCGGCCCGTGGCTCACTCGGGAGAGTGAGGTGCTGATAACACCAAGGCCATGGGTTCGGATCCCATATAGGGATGGCCGGTTGGCTCACTTTGGTGAGCGTGGTGCTGACAACACCAAGCCAAGGGTTAAGATCCCCTTACTGGTCATCTTTAAAAAAAAAAAAAGAAAAATAAATTGAGAAGAGAGAGATGGAGAAAGCAGGAAATAGACTAGAGAGGAGGCTGTGGCGAGGGTCTAGGAGGAGAGCACGAGGCCTGAGCAGGGCTGGGGCTGTGGAGCTGAAGAGGAGGGTCAGGAGGGACGGGGCTGTGTCCTGATGGGCTGTCCAGTGAGAGGGAAGGGCACTACAGACTGAGTGCTTGTGTCCCCGCAAAATTTGCTCATTGAAACCTAATCACCAATGTGAGTGTATTAGGAGGTGGAGCTTTTGGGAGGTGATTAGGTCATGAAGGCAGAACTATCACGATTGAGATTAGTGCCCTTATTAAAGAGGGCCCAGAAAGCTCACTTGCCTTTTAGCCGTGTGAGGTTAGAGAAGATGGCAGGTGTTTACGAACCAGACAGCAGCCCTCAACTGACACTGAATCTGCCAGTGCCGTGGTCTTGGACTTTCCAGCCTCCAGCATGGTGGAAATGAACATCTGCTGTCATAAGCCGTCCAGTTCATGGTAGATTGTTGTAGCAGTTGGAACTGACTAAGACAGGGGCAGGGAGGGTGCCCAGCATTCTGTTCTGGGGACTGGGGGGACGTGGGGCCAACCAGAGACAGGGACCCAGATGAAGAGCAGGACAGTGGCCATGCTGAGCTCAGCGTGGGGTGTGGAGAATGGGAGGGGCAGGGGCAGGGTGTTGTGCCAGCGGGCAGGAGGGTGGACGAGTGGAGGATTTGGGAGACACATTTAAGGAACAGCATTTATGTGTTTTGGGGAGAAGATGCCAAGATCAGTTTGGGACCTTTGATTGGGAGGACGTCCAGGCACTTGGAATCTGAGCTTCTGGAATGGGCATTCATTCCAGCATGGAGCCGGAAGCCATGGGATGGGGGAGGTCACCATATGTAGTGAGGGAAGCATGAGAGGAGGGTGGGGCAGAGGCAGAAGATCTCATGGGACCCACATTTTATAGGACAGGCTGGGATCTTGGGGCCTTCTGGGATGCTGGGACTCTAGGATAAGCCGGTGGAGAGACAGAGAAGAAGAGAGAGCCAGGCATGAGAGAGCCAGTGAGAGGAGCACAGAAGGCGCCAAACAGCTGCAGTGAATGGACACTGTTGAGAGGGGGTGGGCACAAATGCAGGAGAGGGCAGAAGGGGACAACAGGTCTATTCCTGGGGAAGGCTGGGGCGGGACCTCACCCAGTGAAAGAAGGTTCTGGTAGTTCTCCAGCATCACGTCCCGGTACAGCTCCCTCTGGCCGGGCCCCAGCCAGCCCCACTCCTCCAGGGTGAAGTCCACGGCCACATCCTTGAAGGTCACTGAGTCCTGCAAGGGCCAATTTTACATGGTGGAGGGGTACATCCTTCTAGAACTCTGGGCAGGACAGGTCATGGGTTAAGAACCCATGACAGTCCCTTGGGCTGGAATGTTCTGACTCTACAGATTTGGGATGATTGAACCAAACCTGCCCAGAGGAATGTAAAGCGTCTAGAGCTGGTCCACAGGCATCTTGGAAGAAAGTAGAACAGGCCCTTTCCGCACGACTCTTTACTGCCCTCTATCGGAAGATCATTATAATGTACTCATTACTTTTAGGATATGACAGTTTACTGCCATCTACCTGAGAGTTGCCACACACAATACATACACCAATGTTTGAGGGGCAAGATGTGAATCCTGCCCCTGAGACAAGGCACCTTGTGTTGTGGGTAACCTGCACAACTGTAGGTGAATGACAACCCGAAGAAACACATTTTTTTTTAAACTATCAAGCCATTGTGCGCAAGAGACATTCCTAAGTCCCATTCTATCCCAGACCCCATCCCCGACTCCCAACCCCCATTCCTGAGTCCAGGGATAAGGCTCAGGGGTGAAGCAAAACCACCCACCGCCCACTTCACCTGGTAACCTGCTGAGCAACGCTGCTGAGTGTTAGAGGATTGATGTTTGGACGTGTCATAAGGTCTCAGCTCAGAGCATTCTGCACCAGCCCACTGGCCTCCCTTACTTCCCAGTCCCAGACCTGCCCCCTCTTCACACTGGGAGGGACAGAAGATAGTCATATTATGTATATATAGAGAGGGGGCCTTCTCAGGTCCACAAAGTCATCTTGAGAGAGGGGAAGCCCAGACTCACCTGGCCCTTGGCCATCAGGGTACCAGTGGTCATTGCTGGGTCCTGGGCATGCACCCCTGGGAAAAAGGTCCAGGCAAGAGTCCAAAGAGCTGGGGGGGGGAGACCGGAGCAGAGAAGGGGTCAGTTTTGGCCCAGACATCAGACACCTTCCCCAAAGATGGCTGGTGACAGAGGAGGCCCTGGTCTCCTAAGAACCAAAGGAAAGGCTCAGGACAGGCTACCTGAGGCCTCCATTCCATACCAGTAGCAACAACATTACCAACCATACAGTACAGCTCACTGCACCCACAACAGCTCTCAGAGCCAGGAACTATACTTATCCCTAGTTGAGGAAATCCAGGCATAAGAGGTCACGGCCTTTCCTCAAGGTAGCAGAGATTTCAAGTGTCAGAGTGGGATTTGAACCCAGGAGTCTGGCCATAGACCCAATCTTCTTTTCTTTCTTTCTCTTTTTTCTTTTCTTTTCTTTTCTGGCGGCTGGCTGGTATGGGGATCTGAACCTGTGAACTTGGTGTTATAAGGCTGTGCTCTCACCAACTAAGCTAACTGGCCAACCTCCCCGCTCCCCCCAACACTTTTATGTATTATAATTTTTTTTAATGTGGAAAAATACACACAACATAAAACTTACTATCTTAATCATTTAAAGCGTAACTTCAAGGGGGCAGCCTGCGGCTCACTTGGGAGAGTGTGGTGCTGATAACACCGAGGCCACAGGTTCGGATCCCTTTATAGAGACGAGCCTGCGGCTCACTTGGGAGAGTGTGGTGCTGATAACACCGAGGCCACAGGTTCGGATCCCTATATAGGGACGACCGGTTGGCTCACTTGGGAGAGCGTGGTGCTGACAACACCAAGTCAAGGGTTAAGATCCCCTTACCAGTCATCTTTTAAAAATAAATAAATAAATAAAATAAAGTGTAACTTCAGTGACATTTAGTTCATTCACAATGTTGTACAACCATCACCATTGTTTAGTTCCAGAACACTTTCATCAATTCTGTAGCCATTAACAGTCACCCCCCAACCCCCAATCTCCCCATCCCACCCCCATCTCACCCCTGCCAGCCCCTGGAAACCATTAATCTGCTGTCTGTCTCTGTGAATTTGCCTATTCTGGATATTTCATATAAGAAGAATCAAACAATATGTGGCCTTTTGTGTCTGGCCTTGTTACTTAGCACATGCTTTCAAGGTTCACCCATGTTGTAGCCTGTATTAGATCTTCATTCCTTTCTCTGAACAATGTTCCATTGTATAAATATATCACAGTTTGCAGAGGTCCTTCTATCTGTCTTAAAAATCCTGCTTAAGGATCTTGTAGTCCTGCTTAAGATGTTGTTTGAAGAAAGGTTCCAGTTGCTGAAATAAAGTTTAAGAGTCCCTGCCAAAGAGAGGTGGCATTCAGAGTGTGCGATTACCCCTGTTCATTCAGCAGATGGGCTCTGAACTCCATGTGAGTGACAAGCTCCATACCAGGTTCTGAGGATGAAGATGAGATGAGGGAGACTTGGCTCTGCCCTCAAGGGGCTCACTCCCTGATGGGGAAGACAGGCCTGGACACAGACCAGGTGGGAGGCTGAATAATGGCTCCAAAAGACATCCCTGGAACCTGTGAATTCTACCTTAAACAGAAAGTGTACTCTGCAAATGGGGAGATTATCCTAGATTATCTGGGTGGTCCTAAATGCAACCGCAAGTGTCTTATAAGAGGGAGGCAGAGGGAAACCTGACAAAGAGAAGAAGGCCATGTGACAGAAGCAGAGAGAAGCAGAGACAGAGAGAGAAGACACTATGCCGCTGGCTTTGAAGATAGAAGAGGGCTGGCCGGTTAGCTCAGTTGGTTAGAGCATGGTGTTATAACACCAAGGTCAAGGGTTCGGATCCCCTTACCAGCCAGATGCCAAACAAAAGAAGATGGAAAAAGGGGCTACAACCTAAGGAATGCAAGTGGCCACAAGAAAGTGGAAAAGGCAAGGAAACAGATTCTCCCCTAGAGCCTCTGGAGGGGGTACAGCCCTGCTGACACCTTGATTTCTACTCATTAAAACCCATTTGGATTTCTGGCTTCCAGAACTGTAGGAAAATAAACTTGTGTTACTTTAAGCTACCAATTTGTGGTAATTTGTTACAATAGCCATGGGAAACTAATACAGTCCACAAAATGAAAAATTTCAGCTCTTCACACACGTTCCCAGGCAAACAGCTACACAGGAACATACGCACCTGAATGCCAAAACCAGCAGGTGAAAATTTGATGAGGAAATGAGACACAGAGTTTTACAGAGTCTTAACCATCTCCCCACAAATCACTTATCGTGGAAGAAAAAAGGGGGATATGTGGAGGATACTAATGTATTTCTCAGGGCCTACCTTATAGCCTGGTGGGGCAACAGCCCTGTAGTTTTAGGTACAGCCTAACCTTCTGGTATTGCACATAGAAGTGTTAAGCTTGGGAAAGACAGAAAACTTTCCCAGGACTAAAGTCTCTGGTGTAGACAAAAAATTGTAACACAGCAAAAATGCTTGTCCTAAGGGCAGTCATCCTTGGTGCAGCTAAACCTAATTATGGGAAAGTATGTGAGCTAAAGGCTTCAAAGATAATGGTTCGGGGATGTTCCTCATCTCACCTTCAGCTGTTTCTTTGAGTTTCTTGGGGAAGTGAGTGTTGCCAAGACAATTATCTTACTGTTCTTTTTTGTAACCACCGGTGTTCTTTTTCTGTAATTTTCTTGCCTGGAAAACAAATACTGAGAGAAAACCTGATTTGGGGTTATTTTCCAAGAATTCTTCTCCCTTAAAGGATTTGTCTGGAATTAACCCTTTTGTGCCTCTCACTGCTCAGGAGAAATGGGCTTTGAGTAATCCTTTGCATCTCCATCACCCTGGGAGAGGTGATAACTTATTAATTACAAAAAGAAGAGGGTAACTTCAGAGTGGAGAAATCTGGTAGATACCATCTTAACCAAGTTATCAAGGTTGATGTTACCTGTGATGAGTCAAATCAACATCACGGGCCCCTGATCTACTGAGAAGGACACAGTATCGCTCCTAGAATATTCCTGCCAAAATGTGTAACCTAACTCTAATCATGAGGAAACACTGGACAAACCCAAACTTAGGGACACACATATTCTACAAGCATATGGTCTGTAATCTTTAGAATTTCCAAGATCATGAAGGTCAAGGAAAGACTGAAAAACTGTCCCAGATTAAAGGAGACCAGAAAGACCTGACATCTGATGCAGTGCATGATTGGAGATTTTCTTTCACCATTAAAGTCATTATTGGAACAATCAGCAAAAATTTGAATAAGGTCTGTAGATTAGTTAATAGTATTGTATCAGTGTTCATTTCTTGATTGTGATCATTTTAGTCCATTTTCTGCCATTCATAACAGAATACCTGAAGCTGGGTATTTTATAAAGAACTGAAATTTTTTTCTTACAGTTTGGGAGTCTGGGAAGTCCAAGATTGAGGGGGTGCATCTGGTGAGGACCTAGTGGGAACTCTAGAGTTCCAAGGTGGTGCAGGGAATCACACGGTGAGAGGGTAAGGCCATGCTAATGTGCTAGCTAAGGTCTCTCTTCTTATAAAACCACAATTCCATGATAACCCATTAATCCAGTAACTCATCAATCCATTAATCATGAATGGATTGATCCATTCATGAGGGTAGAGCCCTCACCATCCCATCACTTCCTAAAGGCCCCATCTCTCCACACTGTGGCATTGAAGATTAAGCTTCAACATGAGTTTTGGAGTGTTCATTCAAATCATAGCAGTGATTATGGTGCTATGGTTTTGTATAAAAATGACTTCCTTTTCAGAAAACACACAGAGACTCACTAGAGAGTGGGGTGGGAGGAGGTAGGGTGCAGAGGCCCAGAGAGAGGAACAGAAACCCAAAGACAGAGGGAGACAGAAACTTGGGGAGATGGAAAGAGACCCAAAGAGAATGGGGACAGACAGAGAGAGGGGAACAGAGGCAAGGATGCGGGGAGGGGCAGACAGACGGGGTGGGACGCAGCGGGTGTAAGGGTGGAGGGAGATCCGAGAGAGAACAGCTGCTCAGGTGAGGGGTGACTGCATAGTGTTGCTCTCGGGCTCTGGGGTCGGAAACTGTGCATGTGATTCTAGGTCTACCACGTTTTAGCTCTGTGACGTGGGAGAAGCTGCAGAGTCTCCCCGAGTCTGTTTCTTTACTTGCAAAGTGAGGAAAGGGAAGTTCCCTTTCCTAGGCGATCGCAGCAATCTCGCGCGCGGCCGAACTCCTGGCAAACAGCAGGCGCCCAACTCCCACACGCCGAGTCGTCTGAGCCACACGTATGCTAGCGGGGCTCTGGGGCCGCGCGTGACAGGAGGAGGCGGGGCGGCAGCCACCGCGCCCTTCCTCCCCTCCCACTCACGCCCGACTTGGACCCGCCCCTGGAGCGCCTGCCCATCGGCCTAGCCCGGCCCACACTCACCTGCTGCGGGTCGGGGCCGCAGGGTCCAGGCTCACCTGTGCACCCCGGCGTGTTCCACGGGATAGCCAGGCCTCCCCTCGCTCCGACGGCTGCGAATGCGCCTGCGCGGTCGCTATATTGGCACTCAAGTCCTGGTACTTTAACCGCGGCATCGCAGCTGGACTACATTTCCCAGAAACAGTTGCAGCTCACGCTCCTCCCGGACTAAGGTCTGTGAGTGTGGGGGAATGCTGGGAAATGGAGTCTCAGAGTAGGATATGTGGCGGGAGAGAGATTGTATCTAAACAGCTGCGTGGCAGCTGGAGGAAACCTGGTGTTTGAGAAGTGTCTGGCTGTACTGGCACTGCGAATATCCCCGTGTTAGCCAGAGTCTTCTCACTGTCCTCCACAGGAGGCGATACCATTGTCCATTTAATCCAAATTTCTCCTACCATAGCTGAAGTCGTCAGGACTGATAAAAGTTGGCCCCACCTAAACTGATGGTGAATGAATTCCCTGTGCATCCGCCTTTCTGTTTGCCTCAGTTTCACCCATCACCCCTTAAAGAGCAGTGTGGTGAAGGAAATAGAGCCTATGCCGAGACCTGGGAGGTGTATATTCACAAATGCAAAGATGGCTCGATATTAGGATATTATATATAATTCACCTATTGATATATCAAAATAGTATCAACATATCCATAGATACGGAAAGGCTTTTGGTAACATTTAGTAACCAGCCATTTCTAGATAAGCAGAATAAATTAAGAATAGGCCCATATTGGGCCGGCCCCGTGGCTCACTCGGGAGAGTGTGGTGCTGGTAACCCCAAGGCCACGGGTTCGGATCCTATATAGGGATGGCCGGTTAGCTCACTGGTGAGCGTGGTGCTGACAACACCAAGTCAAGGGTTAAGATCCCCTTACCGGTCATCTTTAAAAAAAAAAAAGGCCCATATTGAACAATAATAACCATGGTAAAGAGTTACTGGTCTCTTCTTGTGTTTAATTATATACATACTTATAATAAAAACCCCATATCAGGCTTAATGGTAAAATACTAAAGGAATTCCCGTTAAAGTTGGAAACAAAACAAAATGTCCACTACCACCACCTTTGGAAGAACTATCAACGTAATTAGACAAGAGAAAGAAACAAAAAAATCACTGAAATAGAGAAGTCCAGGTTCTCATCTTCCTTTGCCTGTGATATGATTGAGATCTTGAATATCAGACAATCTACTGAAACACTAAGATAAACAACAAGATAATTCTGTAAAATGGGTACAAAAAATAGGTTTTCTCTCTTCAAACAAGAACCATTAGGAATCTAATGAAAAATAGGGGTTACTCAGATTTTAGCCCCTTCTTTACCTGATATATTTTAATCTCTTTGTGATCTCGGGCAGTTCTCCACTCTCTACACCCCGTTACCCAGCTTTCCTTTTCTATACAGTGTCAATCCCTCATTGGGTTAATCTGTGGCAGAAACCGGAGAGCTGTTCTCCAAATTCCTTTCCTCTACTTTTTATGCATATAGCTGGACTACATTTCCCAGCCTTTCTTGCAATTTGAGGTGGCCATGTGATTAGGTACTGGCCAATAAAATATGAACAGAAATTTCTGGGTTTCATGCCAAACCCAGACCTGGCCCACTGAAACCTTCCCCTTGCCACCTTTCTCAGTTTGTCTCCTTCTGTGATGCAGATGAAGACTGTGACCCTAGAAGTCACACGTTGAAGATGGAAGTAGCCTAGGTCCCTGAATTGTCACTTGGACAAAGGCCACCTCCAATCAAAAACACCCATTGTAGGCCTTACATAAGCAAGAAATTAATCCAGTATACCTTTTGGAGGTTAGTTGGTTATAGTAGTTAGTGTTACCTTAACTAATACACACTGTGTCATGTGTCAAACCATGTGTAGAAGAGGGTGAATCTCAGCCCCTAATTTCTCATGTTCAAGAAATAAAACTCTTTTCATTGTTCAAATCTAAGTCTGACTTTTATTTTGAGTCACCCATTCCAATGGGGGTGTGTGCGAGGAGTCATCTAGAAACTGAATCTCTGTTATGTGGGGACCTCCCTTTTTCCTGAGAACAGTGTCCAGATCCAGGAGGTGTCTGTAGTGTCTGTAGTGTCCAGTGATCCTTCAGCATGGCCATTTCCCTTGCCATGACTGGTTTAGTAGTGGGCATGTGACCTCATTCTAACCAATGAGACACGAGCAGTGGCCCACGGGGAGCTTCTGGAGAAGTTCTCTCTGACTTTAAGAAGGAGACCTGGTCTTTTCTCTTCCCCTGGATGTTGACATGTGTAGATGTGATGTCAGGAACTGCTGCAGCCCTCTTGTGATCATGCAGACCAAGACCTTTTCCAAAGACAGAAGACAATTTGAATCATGGATATCATGGCTGAGTAGCTGTGCATCCCAACAAGTAAAAAGTAAATACATTTATTAATAAACCACTCCCTTCTGTATTATAAGACCAAAATTACAAGAGTTGCCTTGACATCTTTGAGCCTCACAGGGCCCCAAAGGCCTAGCTGTGAGTTCTCCTGCTTTTTGCCAGATATGCTTCCAACCTGAGGGAAAAGCTCCCTGTCCAGCTAGTTGTCCTATAAGCAGACCAGCTGCACCTTTCTGGATCCTCAACCTAACAAGCTTCAGTTCCCTGTTAGCCAGTGAAATTATTCAAACAAACCAATCACATTCTCCCATGGGACTGGGGGGTAACTCACCCTCTTGTTACTACGAAGTCTGCCTCCCACAGCCCCCACTGGTTCACTCTATTCCAGAGTGCAGCTCGCATATGGCCCTGCATGGTGTGCGGTGTCATCTTCCCCTGGGCTGTGAGTACATGTGACTAATAAACCGCTCTCTCTTTCACCTGTCCAGTGTTAGGTATCATATGTTCAGCCATCTTATATTATTTAGGGCAGGGGATTTCATCTTCACCAACGAGGTGAATACAAGGTTATCCTAATACTTTGTGCCTTGCATACAACAGATATTCATTAAAAATGTGTACATTGTCGGGGCCGGCCTGTGGCTCACTCGGGAGAGTGTGGTGCTGATAACACCAAGGCCACGGGTTCGGATCCCATATAGGGATGGCCGGTTAGCTCACTGGCTGAGCGTGGTGCTGACAACACCAAGTCAAGGATTAAGATCCCTTTACCAGTCATCTTTTAAAAAAAAAATGTGTACATTGTCATGGTAATGTAAGTATATGATAGATTAGAAATAGTTATTTTTATACTAACAAGGTATACAATCAAAAAGTTTCAGGGCTGGCCGGATGGCTCAGTTGGTTAGAGTGCAGACTCATCCTTATAACGCCAAAGTCATGGGTTCGGATCCCTGGAACAGCCAGCCACACACACACAAAGAAACTTTGGCGAGCCCAGATTTGTAAGATATCATCCCGGTGCTTTGCCAGGCCATCTAGCTCTTCCACAGTCTGGAGTCTTCTCACATCAGCCTCATCGCTTCCCACTCCCCACATTCTACTCACTCTTAGACTATTCCCAGTCTTCATTCCAGTTTCATCAACTGCTTTATCATTCCCTTAGCTCCTATTCCATCTATCACCCTCTCAGCTGACATGTAAAATTCATATGAAGTTGAAATCTCAGTGTTCATAAGTATAGTTTTATTGGAACACGGACATGCTCATTCTTCTACATATTGTCTATGGCTGCTTTCAGGTGCTACAGTGGCAGAACGGAGCTGTTGCAACAGAGACTGTATGACTTGAAAAACAAAAAAAATTTTCTTGCCCTTTGCAGAAAGCTTGCTGATTCCTCATTTAAGCCACTGTTCATTGGGAATAATGTTACTTACAGCCAAAAAAAAAAAAATCCTGATACATTTTATTGTCCCGTTTTTATAGATGAGAAAACTCCAAAACTTAGAGGTGACAGATTGAGCAAGAGCAGAAACCTGAATTTGTCTAATTTCACCACACAAGCTGTTAGCTCTATCACCTCCCAGAAAGCCTCACGCAACAAGGATGGAGAGCTATAAAAGATGGTAGAGGAGAAGAGATGTGCCGGCCCCTCTGTCTGTCACCTGCTGGCTGTCTTTTGGCTGATGGCCTTTTCCTTACCTTCCTCAAGAAGTGGGAATGTTGTCCTAAGTAGTCAGAGCCCAAGACCTCAGAGCTGGGTCATAAGAGTTAAGGGGGAGCCAGTTACTGCATTAGCAAGGACTCATCCCTGGTCTCTGCTGTACGACTGATGGGTTGAGGCAGGGTCTCTCCAGACTGAACCGGGATAGCTTCAGCAGAGAGGTCTTCACTGCATCACTGAGGGCTGTTTGGTTAATAATAAAGCCATATTTTGTTTCCCATTGTGACTGGCAGGGCAGGAATTGGGAATCCTTAGGTCCTTCTATTACATCCTAGAAACCTATCCTACAAAGACAATCCCAAAGAAATAAATAGCTTTATATCCACACGTTTGTCTTAGCATTATTCAATATTAATAAAATTTAAAATTACATAAAAATTGTAAAAAAGAAAAATTAAATAAGATTTATAATTGAAAATGACTTTTGAGTTCAAAATCAGGAGATCTATTAAATAAATAGCAGTACGTCTCATCCATGAAATGTTATTGAGCCATGCAATAATAGTGATAACCACACAATGACATGAGGACATACTTGCAAAAGAAGGTTAAAGGAACAAAAATCTTAAAAGTTAGGTATCTTTCGTGTTTATAAAGATGTGTGCGCATGTGCAAAAGTTAGATGAACAATGCATTGCCAAAATGAAATAACAATAACTGCCACTTATTGACAACACTCTGTGGGTTTTATTAGCTCATTTAACCAGCACGACCACCCTATGAAGAAGGTATTGCTTTCCCCAATTTAACGACAAGGGCACTGAGACAGAGGATTTATATAACCCTTTCAAAGTCCCAGAACTAGGGCCGGCCTGTGGCTCACTCGGGAGAGTGCGGTGCTGATAACACCAAGGCCATGGG